CCTCCCAGTTCTGGAGAGGGTCCGTTGTTTCGTTTGGCTTGTGAGCCTTGGCAGAATTGCTACCAATGCCCTCCGGCACTCCAGGAAGATTTCTGATTCGGCGGACTGTGGGAGGTGTATCGAGCAGGGTGAAACTATTCTGCACATCCTCCGGGACTGCCCCCCGGCTGCATACTTCTGGATTAGGCAAGTGCCAAGTGAAAGACAACATACTTTCTTCTCGGCGAACACGGCGGACTGGTTGCGGATGAACCTTGCAGCGGGGGAGGCTGAGCATGTGGGGATCCAAGTGGCCTTCTTTCTTCAGCATGGCTATTTGGCTGTTGTGGAAGAACAGGAACGACATGTGTTTTAAAGGTATTTCTTCTAGTCTCTCTCCTCCATCCTTGACTCACTCGATTGTAGCTAAAGCCAAGTTGTGGAGTGAGGCTTGGCGAGTGCCTTCTCTGTTGCCGAATGGAAGGAGAGCTGCGGCGGTCCGAGTGATGGCCAACATTTCGTGGAAACCGCCCCCTGAGGGGTGGGTGAAGCTTAACATTGATGGTGCTTCTAATGGGAACCCTGGTCCTGCTGGGGCAGGAGGCGTTTTGAGGGATGAGCTTGGAAGATGGATTGGCGGTTTTATTGCCATGATAGGAGAAGCTTCTGCAGCCTTGGCAGAGCTTTGGGCTTTCTATCATGGTTTTGATATAGCTTGGAAATCTGGCTACCGCCAGATCGTGGTTGAATCTGACTCGCAATTGGCCATTCAGCTTATTGAGGATAGACATGACCCTGTTCACCCTTATGCCACCTTACTTGCTGCCATTCGCAGGAGGCTTAGCCGAGACTGGCTGGTGCGCGTAGGTCATGTATACCGGGAAGGGAATAGAGTCGCGGACTGGCTCTCGAAGCACAGTCTCGTCTATCCCTACGGTGTACAGGAGCTCGCACACCCGCCGGAAGGAATAGCGACATGTCTTCAGGACGATATTCAGGGAGTTTCTTTTGAGAGGTGGATTGTGCCCCGCCAATGTAACTCCTCTTCCCCTCAACCCCCCATGTAACATCTCTCTTCTTGGCTTTTGCCTCCCTTTATGCAAAAAAAAAAAAAAAAAAAAAAAAAAAAAATTGTAACATCCACTCCAATTAAACTTGACAGTTTAATTCAGAAGAGGTTGTCTGAACAAGTATTTATCTACTAAACACCTAATTACTAATAAATAAGAAAATAAATATAATTATGTGCAATCTGTATATGCACCTAAAAAATGGAAGTAAGTTTAGTCATACTCTGAACCACAAGTGTAATTGAATTTTCGTGGAGTACATTCATTATAACATGTGGAAAGTTAATATAGCATCCAAACTAACTAGCTTCAAAAATAGCTGACGACCCAGTTATGTGCATACTTATTTCATGTACATTGACCGACGACCACTTTGTCTCAGTAGGGAAATTATATATGACTCAGCTAAAACTTCCACTGTCGTCCAAATCCAGCTGCTAACCGGGCACAACGTCAGTCGTCCTAGCAGCTCAATTGCCGTTGCCAACCAACAAAGAGTGAATGATTAAAATCGGTTTTCACCGCAATTATTGACGCAATGCAATTTGCTAATACTGTAGTATTTGTTTTATATAAGAAAATTCGAGCTATTATGGCTAGGGAATCATCGATCCCACCTATGTCTGAAACTAAGCACAAGGGGGGATGAACCAAGCAACGGACAGCTTTCTGGTTATAAATATCTTGATTTTGGTTATATTTTTTTGATAATTGAAAGTAACAGACTAGCTAGGGTGTTATTTATTTATTTATTTATTTATTTTATAACAGCTAGGGTGTTATTTTAAGTAGCCAAAATCAAAGGGAAAAGAACAAACATTTGGTGTAAGAAAAATCTGCCTAATTATATTTCATGACGAGCAAATAAAAAACAAAACTAATGCAAACTGGAGATCCAAATCCAATCCCCTTTCGTCATGTATTATAAGAAAGTGGAAACACGTGCAGAAATTCCAGTGTGCAGCCATGGGCCGAGTTGCAGTTAGAAAGGTCCAAAACCTTTTGCTTTCATGGATGGGATGGGAGGATCCAGGTTCATGCACCTTAATTCCTAGGATAAAATAGAACATTCCAAAGGACGAGAAAGTTCTCTTCTTTTTTTAATTACTATATATAAAGCTAAGTATCTAATTGTAGAGTCACGGTTTTAGATGTATGGATCAATGCATAATTTTGCATTTTATCCATTGGATCCCTCCAATGGCAAAAAAAAAAAAAAAAAAAAAAAAAAAAAAATCTTCTTTTTGTTCAACCACTTACTTTCATAAATCAAATCACATCTCCTTCCATTGTAATTTCTATGTTCCAAATCATTGGATTTTTATAATTCACACCGCCTTACGGTATTAGCCTTCTATAAAGAGGAATCTTTTAGTCAATGACTTAATGAATCTATGGAAATGGAAGGCTTGTCTCCAACTCTACTTTTGGTTTGTACGTTTACTCCGTCTGATCAAACAACAATTACGATGCAATACTTATAAAGATTATGGAGATTCACTCCCACATTTAACTGATAACTCATGACTGAAGAAGGGAGTCAATCACCCTACCTCCTCATATGTTTTGACCGGATGAAAAGGGTTTGACCCCACCACCTTATAGAATTTTGGTGCCTCCTTGAAGTTCTTTGGGTGGTTTGCCTATTCCTGTCTCACTCACCTTCTAGATATGATTTTTTTTTAAGGATATATAGGACCTCACCCGACCTCTTGAATGAATTTAAAAGTGTTTACACATAAAAATTAAATTGTAACATATCGATAATTTACAAAGGATTTAATAGGTTTATAAGGCCAGTTCAATATTAATCATTATATGAGTTAGCTAACCTTTACTGGGTTGGGTTTTTGGGCCTAGATGGCCAAGCCTCCTCTCCCATACACAATGGCCGACCCGTTTCCTTAGCCTCCATGGACATCGGCCTCCTCACCCTTGACAGGAAATATGGCTCTCAAAAACTAAGTCTGGAAACAAGGCAGGCTTAGTACTAAGACACTAGGGGGTACCAAGCCGGAAATTTGGCTAAGTATGGAGCCAATAGGGTACCAAAACAGCAAGGCAGACTTGGTACCAAGACATGAAATTTGGCTAAGTGTGGAGCCAAGAGGGTACCAAGACGACAAGACAAGTTTGGTACCAAGACATGAAATTTGGTTTAGTATGGAACCAAGATAGCACCAAATCAGCAGGGTAGGCTTGGTACCAAGATATGAAATTTGACCAAGTCTGGATACCAAACTGACAAGGCTGGCTTGGTGGACAGGAAATAGGGTACCAAGCCGAGTACCAATTAAGAGATTCATACAAAAAATAAGTATAGATATCAAGCCGACAAGACAAATTTGGTATCAAGTTACCAAACAAGCCTATATGGCCTCAAACAAGACAACTTTGGTGTTTACTTTTCGATGAGAGAAATCTTTCATTTTGGCTCTCATATATGTCGATTGCGTGATCTTGAAAAGTGATGATTTTATCTATCATTCAATGGGTCAAAGAGTTCCTTGACCAACAGTTCAACATCAAGGATTTGGGCACCCTAAAGTACTTCTTGGGCATTGAAGTTGCTCGCTCGCCAAAGAGTTTGGTCCTCTCTCAACGGAAGTACATTTTTTACCTTCTGAAAGATGCTGGTATGCAGGGGGTGAAACCGTGCTTGTCTCTATCGAGGAAAACCATAATTAACTTGCTTGGAAGGCCCTGCTGCTGCTGACCCACTAGCTTATATGCGCCTAGTTGGCTGCCTTCTGTATCTCACGATGACACGACCAGATATAACTCACCCGTCAACATCCAGAGTAGAGCAGTTCATTCGCCTCGCCAAGACCATGTAGATGTACTGCACCGTATTCTTCGTTACATAAAAGGACCTCCTGGAAAAGCTATGTATCTTCCCGTCAGTGGTTCCTTAACTCTTATTGCTTATTATGATGCAGACTGGGGATGGTGTCGTCAGACTCGACGTTCTACTTCAAGCTACTTTGTCATCCTCACTCACAGTCCAGTTTCATGGTGTACGAAAAAATATAATTATTAGTGAGGGACACCCCTAAAATTTGAAAACATGATTATCCTACTGTCATTTGTGTATAGGAATATAAGTGGTAGATTGGATAATTCAAATCTAGAACACTATTCTTATTAATAAACTTAATTTTCGTTGACCTACAACTCATTTGTTGTTCGATTTTGAAAAATGTAATAGTAAAATGTCATTTTCTATCTCTAATTATTTTAAAAGCATAACAATTAAACTAATTTCAAACCTCCCTTAATACGACAAGTGTTGAAAGAGTCTTTCAGCTTTGGGTTACATCGAGAACAAGTTTACAAATCGAATATGCGAGAAGTTCGTGAATGATTGTCTAGTAGGGTATATAGAGACAATTTTTTTAACACTATAGACACCAAGTGTATTCTACAATTATTTCCGAATATGAAAACAAATCATGGACTTTTTTAACTTGTACGAGTAAGGTATTTTCAAATTTACGATTTTATTTTTATTAATTATTAATTATTTTTATTTAATTTATTTATAAAAGAGGACACTCCTATGAAAAATTTCTGGGTCCGCCACTGCATAGGGTTTATATAGAGTACAAAGACTGACTTCTATAATAACCCTCACTAATAGAGAAATAACCTAACTTCTACTATTCTAATAAGGAATATAACTCTACCCGATTACATACTAGTACTCGTAGTAATATGTGAATGACGGCTTTCTACCAAAGGAAGCTTGATTGGCTGAATACAGTGTTGTGCGATGTCAAAACTTTCTGGGTAACAACTAACAATTCATAGCTGCAATTATGAACGATTAGGTGATTTTGTACATTTTTTTGGTTGATTTAGCGACGATGTGCTCTTTTTGTAGCAGTCGTTTGTAATTTTCTCTCTATTCTCTTGATCGTTTACTATTGGTGAATGCTTAATTATTTGAAGTGATATAAAATTCTTTTATTCCATTTAAAAAAAATATATTCAATCCTTTTCTCCGTGCTGTTCTAAATTCATAAAGCTTAGCGTCGAAAGAGAAAATTCATATAATAAAGCTTAAGTTTGATCAATTGTGAGCTTAATTTAATCATTACACCTCGCCACTTCTATTTTATACACATCACCACAAAGAAAAGAAAAAAACATTACAAAAGAAAGAAACATTATCCACCAACTAGCCAAAAGAATTTGCAAAACTGGAAAATAGGGTAGTAGAGTACAAAAACAAGAGCCACATCAGCGGCCGCTCTGGATCCGACTCACCAATAATAATGATGATTGTACCCACCACCATTACTGTAATTGGCAGCAACAGTACTATCACTACTCTCCGTCGATATGGCCAGGATTTCGTCCAAGTACTCTGCCCCCAAATCCTCCAACACCACCATCCCTTCCACCTCCTCCTCCGCCGCCGCAGCAGCAGCCTTCCCTCTCTTCCTCCGCCCGCTCTCGGCCTTCCTGTTGGCCGAGTGCCGCTTCTTCAGTGCCAGCACCGGCGACGGCCCTTCCCCGCCGTGCGAGTAGCCCATCTCCTGGAGCGACCGCCGCGCCGTCTCCGCCGGGAAATTGAGCACCGCCATGTTCCCGCGCAGGGCGAATGCCGCCTGGTCGTAGGCCAGGGCGGCCTCCTCGGCGGTGTCGAACGTCCCCAGCCACACCCGGACGCCGTTCCTCGTCGAGTCCCTGATCTCCGCCGCGTACTTCCCCCACGGCCTCTTCCTCACTCCCCTGTAGGCGACCTCCTCGTCGGGCGACGACGAGAGCTGCTGCTGCTGTTCCGCCGTCGAGGAGCACGCTTCTTCGCCGCCGGAGCTGGCCGGAGACGCGGTGGTGGCCTGGCTGATGACCCCGTAGAGGAGCATTTCCTCGGTGTCGTTCTCGTTGAAGGGGAGGTAATTATTATTGTAGTTGGAGTATTGGGAGGAATATTCCGATGTGTTTTGGTAAAATTGGTGGAAAGAAGCATGATCATCCATCTTTTTGTACGTGATTGATTGTTGGCCGCAAAATTCGAACCGGATCACGAATGTTGTTGTTTTTTTGTCGGGGGGAGTATGGGAGTTTGGGTTGATGAGTTGGAGGTTGTGGAAAAACAGGGGATATATAGGGAGGGAAATTAGTGTTCAAAAATGAGAGGACCAAGTGGAATAAATTAATTAATGTGTTATTTGGGTGGAATTGATTAATGAGATGAGATAGATGATGATAGCGGGAGGGTGAAATAGAGGGATGGATTAATTGAATCATGCTGTAGATGTAATAGTGGGCATATATTTTAATTTTAATAATATTGGGGGGGAAATGCAAATGCGGGGCCAGGGGAGAGGTGGAGTTATTTAATGCACGTGGGTCAAACGGACATTATTAGTATTGGGCATGGCGGCTAAGTCAAATAGGAATTCTTCGATGATGTCAGCTTTGATGATTTCATTTCTGTTCTCTGACATTAAGACACAACTAACCATATTCATCATATACTTCGGTAAAAAATTGGGATTATGTAATTTTAGTCTTTTTTTTTACGGTATCATATTGACAGTTCGATCAAGAATTTTGTTATTGGAGTTTAAATTGGTATGCGATTTTTAGCAATAAGACATGCCGAGTCACGATTTCAATACAAAATATTATATCGCTGACTTTTCCGCTATAACCTCTGGTACAGTTTCACAATCCTTAAATTTTGCTACTAAGTGAGTTATCATCAATCGACGATATGTTTTTATCATGGTTGCCAGTGTTATATCATCTGGTATAATCAGGTTCGACCCATCAGTCAAAAAACCGATTGGAATATCCCCAATATGAAGTAGTAGTCAAAACCAATCAATACAGTCAAAACCGGAAAAATCGGTATTCCAACCAAGATTAAAATTTTCAAGCCCATAAACACACGACACGTTTTGCTGTATTTAATTAACAAAATATAATTGTGTATTTTTTTTATTATCAAATGGATGCAATCGCATCCTACCTTTCATTCAAAACCGAATAAAATTGTGTATTTAAATATGAGGATTTGTCGTTTTATTTCTAATGTGGTATTTTATTAAATATGGCAAAGTATGGAGCCAAGATGGCACCAAGCTAGTCAGCAGGGGTAGGCTTGGTACCAAGATATGAAATTTGACTAAGTCTGGATATACCAAGCCACAAGACTGGCTTGGTGGCCAGGAAATAGGGTACCAAGCCGAGTAACCAAATCCGATAACTTGAAGGAAAAGAAACAAATCCTAGCTACGAAAGGAAACACCTATTAGGCTTGGGCACTCGGTCCGACTTCCGTCTTTGCATGGGTTGCATGCCCACGTCCGATGTTGACGAGTTGCCATCATTAGGGGGCACTTAGCATTGCCGATTACTTACCTCGTGACAATACATAGAAGGAAGGAATGCATGAAAAGGGTTTGCAAAATCTCAACTCTGACACCATTAAACATTCTCGCTCAAACTTCTTTGGACAGAATTTAAGGTGAATTTACATTGTTCATGCACGAAAGCTTCCGTTGATCGAAACAGTTGGTGAATGGTCAGTTAAATGTTACTGGTAAGTTACCATGTATGCTATGGAAACCAAAAAGTAGTTCAAAATTTTATGGAATGTTCCAAAGTCAGCTCTCCGCTGTGGCTGTGCAGATTCTTGTAGTGGTTAAGCGATTACCAGTTTGGCACTGAAGTCTCATCCGAATGACTTGGAAATCGGCCATTTGCTATGAGAGGCGCTTAAGTTCAATTCAATGCCTGCCAGTAATTATGATTACAAGAGAAGGAATTCCAAATTTTTGAATTTTGACTAAGCAATTATTGCAGCCATTCAAGGGTCTTCCATTACTCTGCATTATTAGTTTCTTGAAACCAAAGACTAGGAACAGTTGTATTCCAGCTTCAGTCATAGATTTGATGTTGCCAATGTTTGTTGTTGTATGGATTAGCACTCGAGGATTCTTATAAAGTACTTCTATAGTGAGAGGTCCTGCGTTCAAGTTGTCTAAATGATTTTTATTGTTTTCTTAATGGAGTATCTGTTTTTGTAATACAATTTTATGGGGTGTAACTGGTGTGCAGTATGGTCAAGAAACGAGCAAATGCAATGCGTAACAAGCAAGAACGAACCTAGGAATTTAGTTAAGGAGGGCCCGTAAAAAAATTAAATTAAAACATTAATATTAAAATAATCAAAATGTGTTAGGATTTAATCATATATTCATTCTTTGATATCTTTAAAATTATCCAAAATATGGTCTAAATTAAAGGCCTATTAGAATAATTCTCCTTCAACATGAATATTATATATATATATATATTATGATTTAAAATTCAAACATGCCTACATCTGTATGAATTGAAAATAAATAAATAATAATAAATACAACAAGAGGAATTCAATTGCCAATGGAGCATGGAGGCATTGGTGGAAAAGAAGTTCAATCACCGAACATAATCAACATCTCTAAATTTTTAAAAAATTAGGGATGAAAAGACAAAATAAAATGTAAAGACATACTCAAATAAGAAAGTTTGGTACCAAATTGTAAGACTTGTAAATTTTGAGATAAGACATGTCAAACAATGGTATAAATTAAAGTTTCATAATAATAATCGTTCAACATGAATTTTAATATTTTATATATGGCATGTGTTTAACCAGTAGAAAAAAATTATACCTGATATGTAATTAAAAATAGGGTTAATACCTTATTTTGGCCCGAACTACGACCATATAATCAATTTTGGCACGTGGTTTCAGAAATTAACATCCTGACCTCAACTATACAGCATATAGACTAAATTAGCCCGACACATGCTTTGACCGTCAATTTGGATGGTCAACACCATTGATCGTTAGTCAACACGCCATGTCATTGCCTAGTCAGCCTAACAATCATTAAAAAATTCAAATTCAAATTATTTTCCTAATTATTATTATTTATCATTTTGAAATTAATCAAAAATTAAAATTCAAAATATATATAATAAATTTTATGTTTTATCTTTTGGGACATTTGAAAATGATAATTTTATAAATTAAAAACAATTATCAAATTATATTTTATAAATGTAGGAAATATAAAAAACATAAACCAAAAAATAAAATTTCTAATTCAAATTATTTTTTTATTTTTATTATTTATCACTATCAAATAAAACAAAAAAAGAAAATTATAAAAACATAAAATAATTTTTATGTTTTCTTTTTTTTGGTAATTTTAAAATGAATCATTTTATAAATTATTAAAATATTATAGATTTTTTAAATTACCCAAAAATAAAATTTAATATATATAGTATTTTTTAAATTTACAATTTTCAAATGTCCCAAATGATAAATAATAATAATTAGAAAAATAATTTGAATTTCAATTTTTTAATGATTTTTAGGCTGACTAGGCAATGACATGGCGTGTTGACTAACGGTCAATGCTGTTGACCGTCCAAATTGACGGTCAAAGCATGTGTCGGGCCATTTTAGTCTGTATACTGCATAGTTGAGGCCAGGATGTTAATTACTGAAACCACGTGCCAAAGTTGATTATATGATCATAGTTCGGGCCAAAATAAGGTATTAACCCTTAAAAATACCTCTGTATGAATTCCGAACACAAGAAAACAAGAAGTGGGTTTCAATTTATCAATTCTCAATAAAGAATATATGCATTGCTTAAAAAGAACTATAAAAAATAGCTCAAAACTTAAGAAAATTAAGGATTGAAAGACAAAATAATTTTAAAAGTGAACAAAATGAGAAAGTTTAGTATAAATTATAAGACTTGAAAATTTTGGCAGTAAAATACGAAAAAATTGTAAAATCTACAAATATATTATAGCAGAGTTGGGACAATTTTCAGCCTTTCAAATTTCTGCAACGAGAGTGAAAGTTGGACTGGAGTTTTCATGGACCTATTGATGTGATCATGCGCATTAGCAAGGTAGTTACAACAAGATAGGGGTTTTTTGTTGAGTGAATAAGGTTGTCCTTCAACGAAATTTTGAGTGCTGATGGAGTCCTAGCAGGAAACTCTTGCTAACCCGATATTGTCCTTCTGCCCTGACATTTGAGTCCTTGCAGACGCTCACGCTTCACTCTCGGGAAGCAGCGCGCTCCTGCCCATAGAACCCCAACACGCCGAGATCGTCACTCGCGCCTGTTTCGGCCGGCCCATCATCACCGCCGATAAGGTCAATCAATGGTTTCAGCTGAGTCTAGAGGAAGCATTCTCTCTTTCCCACCATTTGGGTTGCCTCAAAATCACCCACCACCAAGGTACAACTTGCTCAAATTTCCATATTGTGTCATGCTTCTTGTTTCTCTGCAAAAAGACAAGATTGATTGTTCTCAGCTTCTTTTCTGTTTGAGCTTATGATTTATTGTGTTACCTTGTTTTTCAATGGTTTTCTCTGCTTCACCGTCTCATATCCAAGCAAATGAGGCTGAACAAGGAGATTTTCCTCACCCGAGCTCATCAGCAACTCGTCCGATTCCCACCAATATTGTGGACAACAATAGATTTCTGCTACCAACAGACTGCTGCCGAAAATAAATTTTGATTCTGCAGGTCTCAAAGGTTCTCAGCGTCATTTCGATTTTGGTTATCCGGGCAGATGATGGCCGGCCGGGTCGCCCTTTCTGGGACATGGGGTTCAAAATGATCTTTGATCATGCTTTGACGAGTCCCTTAAAAAGTTAAAATAGATGGATACCCTGTTCTTTACATAACTTTCTTTTGGAGTTCATTTGGATGGATCCATTCCGGAAGTTGCTACTGTTTCCCTGTGATTCCTCCCGCGATCCATCCATTTTATTTGAGATTTATTCTTGATTACACGATGCTTGTCATCGTTATAGGCGTCCTTTGGTGGAGCCCTTTGCAATCCTTTGTGGAATTTGTTCTCTTTTCAACACTGTTCGTGGGGGCAAGCTGTGGATCTTCCCGAATTCTTTTTCTCCGGCAATGAGATAACTCAAACTCTTTCCCAGGTTGGTTGCCGGCAATTCGGTGGTGTCCACTGCCGCATTGATTGTTGTTCGTAATTTCAGTGAATCTTAAAGGTTGATTTGCGTTAATCCCTCCCCTTCTG